CGATGAGTAATTTTAATCCGGTATCGTTTAACATTCGACTGCGCATCGGTTTGTAAATCCTAGCTGGCAAAGCAGAGCACAAAAAGTTTGGTCAGCAGTAGAAAGTCAGAGATTAAATATTGGTTGTCTTCGTCGCCTTGCGTTGACTATTGCGTACAACACCTACAGACAAAAACCCAGCGAGGGATTGATCATCTGAAAGTTCGTAGCTACTCTAACTCTCGGTCGCGATCTTGGACTAAAATAGGTTCCACATCATCAGCACCCAAGTTCATTCACCCGACTACTCTCCAACCATTCACTTAGTCATGGATCCCATCTTCATTCAACCAATTACTCATTGTTTATTCGCCCACCACGGTCACCCATCATCCATTCTTCGACTTACTTATTCATTAATTCGTCATTCATTAGTCCGATCACTTTCCATTCATTCACCCAATCACTCATTCACTATCGAAACAGAATATTTTGAGTGAGCAATGCACCTTTGGAGGATATTAAATTAGTTCCTCTACAGCTGTACTTATTTTGGGTGGACATGACCCCTATGAACAATTTTCAACTTACCCGCTTTCTGCTCACGAAATTTTAATTACTTGAAGGTTTCTAAATAATCCCCCTCTATATCAGCGGGGTCACGAAGGACAAGCAGTGGGGTTGGAACGTCTGCACTTAAATAAGAACGATGTCAGTAAACAATATTATAATCGTATATAGTTTCAAAAAGATATTGCCGGGTCTTATGCGGTGTTTAATCATAATTTCCACCATCAAAGTCAATTTTGGTGACCTTCAGAATGGATGCTAGCAATCCATCGATCAAAACCGAATCTCCGAGGTGTCCACATTTCAATGTATATAGGCAATAAAGTAATATCAACGTTAGCGAAATGCACTCATTTGCAAACCGATTTGGTGTTTCGAGAGACTCACTTGGAACCCAGCTGAATCTCCCATTTGTGATGTACCCAGGTAACTGAATGTGCTGCACCAGACCGCCTCATGTTTCAGTCGCTATGATATTCGAAATAGCCCGATACATGTATACACTAACAACGACGAAACCGGTCGTGGGCTGTCGACGAATTTCCAGCAACCTTATGAGTAATGCATCACTAATATCATCGTTGTTTACAGGGGTAGTGAATGAGCTACTTTATGACTCCATGGAGGATCACTGAAAGGAAAGGAACCGAATTGAAAGAAATATGCTCCTATGGTTCCCTAAACAAACGGAATCCTTAACGTCTCTCAGCATAATGAGACCACAGACAGCAGGAAGCTACAAGAAAACTTTTTGTTGTTCATAGTTGAATTTAACGTCAAATTTGGTAACTAACCACACAGGCTGCACTGCGATCAAGTTTATGCGTCCCCCTAACTATAATAGAAGCCATTCAGAGTCTCCGTTCCACCTTCAAATAGATATGCTTATGAGAAGGACTGCCGGATCGCAGTGTCACATTTAATTTAGAGAAAAGCAGGTAAAATAGGAGCCTCTTACAGATAAACAAGACGCACAGTTTATATAAGCTGAATACCATTAAGTAAAGCGAGTGTCACGTCACTCAAATGAATGAATACACTTTGATTTCATCAATCAATCATTAACGTAGCGAAATATGTTAACGTCCTCTAAAAAGTCTTGGGGATGCCAGTAAAATTCGGAATGGATATGAGTAGCAGGTTGGAGATCGACGTAACGGCCCTCTGGGAGGTATCTTTTCACCAACATCCATTGGTGTTGTTGGCTTTGCGGCCAATGGATAAGTAGTCTTAAATGTTTAGTTGAGACCTCCATCAAGTAATGTGTCCAGCACTAGGTACCGCGTTGATTGTGTCAACCTATCGTTTGGAATCGGTCTGAGAACGGAAGATGTGCGCTGTATCCAATCACCTCTCTGATTTAGAATGAGCAGAATCCAGTACTCTCGGTGTATGTAAAGGGCGAAATTCATTCAGCCGCAGATGAAACTGTCAATACCTTGTAGACAACTGCTTGATTTATGCTTTTGGATTAATGTTATGAAAAGTTGTATCACGAGCATATCCCGTTAATAGTGTTGCTTAGGCGGAGGTTTTCCGTGAACTTTAACAATGTACTCAAAATTGAAAGAGTTGCTGAAACCGTCCCATAATTCAAGACACTTTAGAAAGAGTTGTCTTACATAGCGGGAGCGTCATGCCACAAAATGTAAGCTCGAAATTATTCGGTGTGTCCATCATCGTTGTTGAAACGCACCATTCCATTTACGTAACAATCCACTCTGCAACTATCCCGTCTTCAAGACAGAAGTGCGTTTGTGCACAGCGATCGCAAAGCTTAGACAATTCTTTTCTCCATAGTAGGTATCTAATAAGAACTATTTCGGTGAGCTTTTTCAAGGTCATAAAACATATCGGGCACGCTACCTGATGTTTTTACAGCGCTTGACTTCTTAATTTCAGACAATATTGAGGTTAACAGACGCGTAATCGAAGCTTTACGAAGAATGTGTGTAATTCATCCCGGTGTGGGGCCCGACTTAGCCTTTTATATGCGGGAATTACTGGTCCCTTTGCGATACTATTTCGAAAAGAGCAAAAACCAAAAAGATCAGATCGTCTATAACGAAAAGTTACATCCGGACATCTACGATCCTATCGATGAATTGGTGAAGCTGTTCCTACAAATTGCTGGCCCAGAACTTGATACAGCCGAACGTAACATAAAAAAGGCCATCCCAACCTACGAACTTTCACATGACCTTTAATTTTCCTCAAGCAAATCGAGCTTGATGTGTATTCAGTTCCACTTTGTTGTTTTATCAAAAGAAATATAATTTTTGAACGCTTGTTTCAATTTCACTGTTCGGATCGCATGCAGAGGTTTAGTGTGTTATAGAGGAACTAGCGCAGGCTAAGCAGAAACTAAGCTGTGATCTAGTGGAGGTTTCTGTCCTTGAATGAACAACTGAACCGAGTAATTTGCTCACAGGTAAAACGCAATAGGTATCCTATCAAGAACAGGTTCAGTTATCAGTGCTTCCGGGAAACACCAATGTTAGTTGGAGCATCCAGTTAATATGAGCCTCAGATATTTATCAACAAATTTCATTTTACTAGTGGTAAGGATCAACTAAGGCTTATATCGACAGGCTTATCGTCAGGTGAGGTAGACTTAAAGGTGAGTGTCATTTGTTTTCCTCATAAATGAAAGTAGGTGTCTGGGTTTGGTCCTCACGTGCCTCCCAGTACCTACAAAGAAAACTGGATGTCACCAGGTTGCTCCACAGTTGCCTCCACGCCCTGTTAGTTTTTAGTAGACTGAGTGTTTGAATTCGTTAGCACTGAAAATCTGTCGTCCATGATACGAAACGGAACAACACAGAGCTGGTAAGCTTCAGTAGAAACTATACAACTCTCTACCACTTCTTGGCTGTGCCTGGATAAAACACCGAAGACTGATGGATAATACAGGTGAGAGCTCCCTGAACACGACGGTGTGAATTCACCTCAGAGTATTCATATGATTCTGAACATCGGGTAGCATGATCGCCAGTACTCAGAAAGAACTTCAAGGGACACCGCAAAGGTGTCAGACAGAGATTCCCAGTCAAACGCAAACAGACGGAGTGTCACCCATTGTAGTTGCCAATCAAGGATTCAACCTGTTGTTTCTCATGATCTTGTCATGACGATGGTTGGGAACGAGAATTCTTCCGGTCTGTGAAATGTAGAAGATAGGCAGAAACAAATTCCCAAGATGATACAACACAGAAAGAGAGTTAAAAATCTGCCTAAAGAAAGTGTTACGATACTGATATGGAATTGTCCGGGCATTCAGGGTAGGTACCACATATACTCACATGTTTGGATTCATGTTTGGTTCAGGGACCCTCAATTTAAGCGGTACTAAGAAAGTTCAACCTGGTACCCAAACCCAAGGTTCTTGACCACTCCGAAATCTAAGCTGGTTGAGTTCGACCACCATAAAGTGACTTCGTATTAGCACGGTATAATACATTAAGTAACCGGCGCACTACATCAATCCCGAAAACGGACATCCAAGTGAAAGGAGGTTTCGGTTTTCAATCAATTGGAAAAAGTTTGGAACCGATTGAGAAGTCATCATTTCAGAAGAGCTTGGTAAACAATCGGTAGTTTTTATTTGGGCAACGTTTCGCTTTTGACACAAAAGCTTCATCAGGCCAAGTGAACAGGTCATAAAATTGTCAGGTTATAAGACAGACGGGGAACCAATCAGTAAGTTCTCTTCAGACTAAATCAGTGTTGAGTGTCAATTAACGGCTCTTGTCGGCTAGTATGGGTGCCAAAATCTTGAATCGATGTGTTGGAGGGTTCCAAATTAGTTCCGATCGCTTTCCGTTCCTTAATCTTCCACTTCAGAGTGCTTCACTTGATGATTCGCCTCGGGTGCCGCTGTTAGATTTTCCTTAGTCTTTGTGGGGTTGTGAGTGTTCCGACAATTTAGTTTGGGGGGGCCACACACTAGCCGACAAGAGCCGTTAATTGACACTCAACACTGATTTAGTCTGAAGAGAACTTACTGATTGGTTCCCCGTCTGTCTTATAACCTGGCCAATTTTATGACCTGTTCACTTGGCCTGATGAAGCTTTTGTGTCAAAAGCGAAACGTTGCCCAAATAAAAACTACCGATTGTTTACCAAGCTCTTCTGAAATGAGATTTCGGTTTCTTCTCAGGCTATTCTCTGTATGAGTTGGTTCCGCTTATGACTCGACCTTAGTGAGTCGTATAAAAATTCACGAAAATCAGGAAGTCTGTAAACATGTTTTAACCAAACTTTACGGTGTTTCTTCTCTGAGTACATCATCTAGTATGCATAACGTACTACCCGTACGGGTTGTTCCAAAGCGGATTTCTTGCGTTATTGGACGATCTAAATGGAGTTTGTTGACATTATCTGTAGTTTTGTTTGTCTACGTCTTTTTTTTGATAGCGGCTTCATTGGATCGTTTAGTTAACCACTAATTTTATTTAACAAAAATGCTACAATCAAAAATGCACATCGATTCGTGACGAAAGCCCACAAAATCCTACCCGCTTCATCCTAGGACCACGCAAAAACAGTTACCCCTCGAACACTAGCTTCTATTGTAGGTTTGGGTAGCTCCAGGGCGACACTTGACACGTTTTCCAAATAAAGTTTGGTTCATTTCACCAGGAACATAATCCTGATTAGGGTGTTCATATACGATGATACTCGGTACTCCGGTGCACGGAGTACTCCGGACAAGACACAGCTACATGTATACAACTTGCCCCCGATTGTCGATAAGGAGGTAATCTCCTCATATGTCTCGCTTCGAATAACCGGCCTTGATCAGGCAGTGGTTATACCAACAGGACGCGGTAGGTTCTGGTTCGATGCGCCAATACCTTATGGAAAGCCGCAAAAGCCCCCCTTTCAGATAAAGTTGTTGAACAGGAGGGTGTAGGAAGAGCTCTATCGTGTTGAATTTACCATGGAATCGACTGCTGTCGCTCCGGGCTGGAATGTTCCATTCGACTGACATCCGCCTCCTTTTGGCTTGCGATGTATGGAGTCCCACGTGGATAAAAATCTGGACCGAATCGTTGTGGCGCTCAGTGGCATATGTGGTCGCAAGGCCGGTTGGGCACTTTGGACAATCATCTGTCGTCAAACGGCATACGAAGTAACCATGACCTCATTTTGTGTTGTGTACCGTCAAAGGTGACGTAAATTCTACGTCGGTCATTTCACAGAATGGTCCACAAGGCCACGCTGGAAAATTTGCGAGGGAGCGAGAACTATTGAGTTGTAAGTGCTACACACAAAACTCAGTTTCTGTACGCTCGCCAGACTTCTCCTTTATTCACTTTAAATTCGTATTCGCTCCATCTTGGAATACAATCCAACCGTCTACTCGAACAGCCCACATCCACACCTACCAAAATTTCTCAGTATTCCAAGCTATCCCCTTAGGTCCACGTACTCACCGAGGCCTGCCAATTTCAATGTTCGAAGACCGACGCACATGGACTGGCAAGGTGGATTAGCGTGGGCTTAGAGAAACATCTGTATGACAACAGCTCAGTTGCTTGGTTGGTTCCTGTGTCTGTTTCTGCAAGTATATTCCGTTTACATTTTCCGATGGACCTCGATTTCACAATGGTAGTTGAAGTAGGAGCGGTTGTTGCTTGGACGATCTGAGGCTGCCTTATTGGACTGGAATCCAATCATTAGTCGATTTGGCGCCAATAGACTTGATAGTTCACACAAAACAGATAGAGGGCAGCCCGAGATTCACGCTTTATTTGTCATTTCTGTCTAGTGACGGCAGACAAAACAACAAAAAATGAGTTCCGGTAACGTCTACACGAAACCCTTAGCCCGGTACCTAGGTCAGATACCCTTATCCGTCCATACAAAATCACTTAAGTGGCTTAAAGGCTGCATGAACAGCAGCTGAGTGAAGTCGCTCGTAGGTTACCTAACAGTGGATGGGAGGCACGCTGGTGGTATTGATCTAGTGGGGATTCGCTGTATCGTCATACGAGAACTACTGAGCCGTCCCGGTACGGTATGTCCTCTATTTCATCCAACTATGGAAGTTTCTCATGACTGGCAAGGGATGATCCCTGCGCTCACGTTTGGCAGTGACCCCTTGGTTGAAGTGTACAACCTTTTGCTTGAAGAGCTGTACCATGCCTGACGATACCTCTCTAAGTAGAGGCTTGGTCAGCACCAATCAACTTGTGATACCTCTGGTGGTCGACGGAACTTGCTTACCATTGTGCGAGTCGTGCTACTGTACGCTTCTGATGGTCGAGTGGGAGTGATGTGTGGCAACTGTCACTCTTCTACACACAAATCCGAACATCTCACCAGCATCGAAGTGTGCTGGGGAGTGTGGCTCTTCCCGTTCACCTCTAGTGACCAGCATTTCAATAGACCTACTAGACTGGTTACGGCAGTTCCTATGCATATCACCACAGATATGCACTGTTTGTAAGTGCTTAACCCCGGTGGAAGAAACGAGCAGGTGCACAGCTGATGAGATGGCGACGGGATATGGAAAATTCGATTACTAACCTACGGAACATAGTACCATCAAGGGTTCCTGGTTTGGGTCTGAACGACCGTGGCAGTGTCGTCACGATCACTGGGATGTAGCGCAGCACGAAAGTCAGTTGAGTGTTGGTTACCAAACCTGCCCGTCATATCAAGTAAAACGAAACTGATTGCAAACGCGTGCAGTAGAGCCGACTAAAAGTTGTCTACCGCACTTGAATGGGCTTCCTTTCGTCCAGTTTTTTCGTGCTCAGTCTATACAGATATCCCCAACAGAAATTAACTTGTGTACCGGCGTGCAAGGTAGCGTTCGTTGAATTATCGTGCATGAATATTCCACGACAACTAACTATCGCACGACTAACGGGATCCGCATCAAGAGACGAATTAACTGAGGATGGGAGTCCAACTTGTCAGTCGCAATAGCACAGTACGTTCAGCGTTTCTCACTTCAAACCTCAGAGTGAAATTCAAGTACGTTCCAAAGTTTTGGAGTTACCCACAAGATAGCTCTTACCCTGAAACTCAATTCGTGCACAATTTCCATGTGATCCTCCAAACGCGGGCTTTTCTCCTCAATGAACAAAATGACGTATTCCCTCAGGATATCCTGGGGTGAATTCTCCAGAGATAGAATGTCTTACACAACTTTGAAGGAAAGTTCCTGTTGAAGATTGACCTCTGTCAGTATTACAAAAGTATAGAACACACTACCCAAAGAAGCGATTTGGCTATTCATTTTAAAACCGGGTTGAATGAACATTGAGAAGGGTGTTTTCTTGACATTCTGCAAGAGAACCATCCAGTACCTGGTTTCGGGTGGATAACTGGAAACAAGCAAACACTGAAAACCTTATTTCCAAGTAGAACGACACCTTGCACACGAATGTGCTGTTTGAGTGTTCTTCTACAAAGAGCGTTGAGATTCTCGACACGGAACTTTGAGTCTTGAGTAGGTTTGATGATCCTGAATTTCAAAAGGAATAACTGAACTCAAAAGTCTGCGGTACCGTTCACACAGAGGTAAGCAAAATTATACAGCGAACCTCAAATGTCCATGTTCGTGGTGTCAACAAGTGCGCGAGTCTGTCACCAACCGGTACAGCACAGTGTCAAAGCCGAATGTTGGCTCTGTGGTAAGGGTTTCGGTCGTTCCTTTTGAGAGCAGTTTCGTCATTATTATTGGGGGTGTGATTACACGGAACTCACGACGGAAAAAGTCAGAGAAGTCTCAGCAGTCAGAGAACGAGAACGCACGAATAAGCAGGTTAGCCACCTACATGCACACGTGCTAGTTAGGTTATCTGTGTCCGACGGGGCGATCTTTGCGGCAAACAGAATGACGGGTACGGATCGACAAAACACGTGGGGATCAAAAGTACACGGGCGAAGTAAGCGAATGGAAGGGGAAATCATCACACCGTATTTTTCTGTTCCACCATATCACAGTATTTCCGACTCGTCCGTTGTTGTATGATGATCGATTGGCCCAGGCGATCGTACACATTCTGTAGAGTTCTCGGAGCCTCAGACTACATTCTCCTAGCCATAAATCCATACATCGTAGCCACCCGAGATATGCGCGCTAAACATGCAGTTATGTCGGTAGGGGATTCTCGAAAGAGGAGATCACTGAAGACAGCCGATCCTTCAAAAGGGCTGAAATATAAATGGTCTCATCTGCTCTATGATTATTTTGAGTAATAGAGTAGGATTAGGGAGAAGTAAACTACTGTTCCACTCCAAGAACTGAGGTTTTGGATGGCTTCAGTTCGTAGCTGTTCAGATTGAGGATTCATTCCTTGGAAAGTAGTACCTCCAAGAATCAAGCAATATGCTGAGACTCTATATCCAAAAATTCAATATAACAACCTCACCATGAGGTAGTGAATATTCGTAAGCGAAAACCGACCAGCTTTCGCCGCATGTCACAAAAAGATGTGTTTAGAAAGAATATTCTTAAAAAAATTATACTGGGCGTACAAGAAAGAAGCAGTTATTATGCCAGTGAGAAGAGACTATAGAATCACAGAAAAGTCGAAGTTCAAATACAGGGAAATATACTCAAACATAGACAGTGTGATGAAAGACCCTTTGGATAAAATCTTTCACTAAGGAGTCCGTATTCAGCTACTGCCTTCAAGCAATCGAGCATGCACGTCAGTGGTTGATTGGTCTGACTCCACAGAACGTAGCACGTCAGAATTTGAGATCCTTCGTCGTTGAGTATGCTCTAGTCTGGTCCAGGACAAAGGAGCTTGCCGTCCGAACAAGACAAAAAGAATACCACATAAACAAGAGATAGCAGACGCCAAGACAAATACGTTCCGCCACGCAGTTGGAGCCGGCTGAAAAGAGAAAGGGAGTAAACCATTAGGAAAATGAAAACGTACCATGGGAGAGGAAAGATGCAAGTACCAAGTGAATATGTTAATAAAGCGTGTTCATTCTAGAATGGTAGTGATATTGATACGATGTACATGTGAGCAAGAATATGGCATTGTTCTAACCTAGCGTTTACGCGAAAACCGCGAAAAACTCCCTTTCCCAGCTAATAAGGACTCTACCGGACAACACTCAGATACACATACAAATCCCCTGATGCCAAAGCATCCCGACACATAGAATGCTTTGTGTAGGCCCAATCGCCCCATACTTAGATCAAATCTTGGGATTCCGATAGGTTGTGTGGTGGTTCTGCACGAGAAAACTGATCAGGATCGACGGAGGATTTGGTATGCTTTTAACCCTCCTACCGACACTGTGTTTTGAACAGCGCGGCAACGAAAGAACGAACGTCGCCATAGCAGTGAAGCGAAGAAGCCCTTCGCTGCGGAGTTGTTTATTAGAAAACACCAACTGAACAAGTACAGACCATTGGACAGTAAAGCAAAACTCTCATATGTACCTAGTTTTGTAAAATTGAACATCCGTCTTCTTTTTGAACGCGTCCTCCTGAACTTTCCTGAATATTCATTGACTATCAAGCAAATTTAATCAAATGCCGCAAAGAAATTCCACAAACTCCGTAATAAATCTCACCTTATATTAGATCAAGGCGGGGCTACGATATACCGCATACTACTCACATGCCTCGTGAGTAGTATCCATCGTTACACAAGTACTATCACTGTGGTTGAATAAATCAGTAAATGTACCGTCTTTTACGGTTCCCGGAACTCAGATTTACTAGTCGACGGGGTTTGCCATAAAAATCCATTTTTTTATTGACGACATGTTTCGAATCTATTGGTTGCCCAATTTTCACAGCAAAACGTTTTGCAACTTTACATAACTTTTTCTACCGTTATGTATGTGCCTTATATTCGTTATTAAACTTCCATTTAAACTACAATTTCCCTAGGGCCTACTATGTGCACCTAAGAATAGGAAGATCTGATTACTACTTTTGCCTATCAGTATCAGTAGCATATCAGCCAGTGTGTCAACAACGCATGGAACTGAATTATCTCGCAAGTTGGCAATATAAGCCTGCAAACTTGACAACTCGTGGGTTCGAGGCACTTTAGGAAGAGAAAGGGAGTAAACCATTAGGAAAATGAAAACGTACCATGGGAGAGGAAAGATGCAAGTACCAAGTGAATATGTTAATAAAGCGTGTTCATTCTAGAATGGTAGTGATATTGATACGATGTACATGTGAGCAAGAATATGGCATTGTTCTAACCTAGCGTTTACGCGAAAACCGCGAAAAACTCCCTTTCCCAGCTAATAAGGACTCTACCGGACAACACTCAGATACACATACAAATCCCCTGATGCCAAAGCATCCCGACACATAGAATGCTTTGTGTAGGCCCAATCGCCCCATACTTAGATCAAATCTTGGGATTCCGATAGGTTGTGTGGTGGTTCTGCACGAGAAAACTGATCAGGATCGACGGAGGATTTGGTATGCTTTTAACCCTCCTACCGACACTGTGTTTTGAACAGCGCGGCAACGAAAGAACGAACGTCGCCATAGCAGTGAAGCGAAGAAGCCCTTCGCTGCGGAGTTGTTTATTAGAAAACACCAACTGAACAAGTACAGACCATTGGACAGTAAAGCAAAACTCTCATATGTACCTAGTTTTGTAAAATTGAACATCCGTCTTCTTTTTGAACGCGTCCTCCTGAACTTTCCTGAATATTCATTGACTATCAAGCAAATTTAATCAAATGCCGCAAAGAAATTCCACAAACTCCGTAATAAATCTCACCTTATATTAGATCAAGGCGGGGCTACGATATACCGCATACTACTCACATGCCTCGTGAGTAGTATCCATCGTTACACAAGTACTATCACTGTGGTTGAATAAATCAGTAAATGTACCGTCTTTTACGGTTCCCGGAACTCAGATTTACTAGTCGACGGGGTTTGCCATAAAAATCCATTTTTTTATTGACGACATGTTTCGAATCTATTGGTTGCCCAATTTTCACAGCAAAACGTTTTGCAACTTTACATAACTTTTTCTACCGTTATGTATGTGCCTTATATTCGTTATTAAACTTCCATTTAAACTACAATTTCCCTAGGGCCTACTATGTGCACCTAAGAATAGGAAGATCTGATTACTACTTTTGCCTATCAGTATCAGTAGCATATCAGCCAGTGTGTCAACAACGCATGGAACTGAATTATCTCGCAAGTTGGCAATATAAGCCTGCAAACTTGACAACTCGTGGGTTCGAGGCACTTTAGGATACAATGAAACCACCTCTCCCGATAAACTTCACAAATTCAAAAGCTTCATTCACTATGAAAACGGTCAGTAGTATGGCCCTGAGAATCAAGAAAAATCCACTTCACATTCCCCGTTAACCTTGCTATTGTTAGACTCCCCAAATCATGTGGTTTCCAAACTTCCTCTTTTCACAAAATATCTACCATTCTCGATGGTTTCAAACCACGTAACATAAGCCGGCACTTTAAATTTAACCGAATAAGACAACCTGAATATTGGTGAGTAATCAGAATAATTCATCTTGGTTGACTGATTTTTGGTGGAGGACCAAATCACCACCAGGTAACGGCCTTGGAATTCTACCAAGTTTTACTAAGATCCCCGACAGCTCAGTCACACGAGACCGTTTGTCCTTATTAATGCACATCTTTTAGGCTCTGATCACGTGACTCCCTCGGTCACTAGTCTCAGGTTGTTATCGTCCGGTTTATTTAGAAGTGTCCAGTGAGTAGCAAATTGTAAAGATAAGAATCGTACCAAACAACAAGACTGTAAACATAAAACAGACATTTTAAGTACCTTTTTTCCAACGTTGTGTGACCGAGATCCCTTTATCGAAAATCAAACTGAAATTAGCTACTCACTATAGATTAACAACACTTTATTCTGCTGGTCGAGAATATCAGGAAGAAAGTTTGCTTCTTTCGATGAGGTTGCGTAAGGTTATGCTTTCCTTTGGCGTTTTTCACCACATGGGGAAGTGTCAGAAACTGATTACCGCAACCATCAATTCTTAGCGTTAGCGTAATATTATGCGTCATCCCAGGACAACGTGGATTCGTGTCATTCAGCGTGAAAGAAAACCTTCGAAATTCAAGACAAACATTCTTCGGCAAAAAAATGTCTAGTCAGTACTTCACCTTATATAAAAAGACATTTCTGCATACAATGTGGGTAAGAAATTCCCCATAGTAAACGCGCCTGAGCGAAATCTGATCACGTACACACACATCCAGTGAAACTAATGAGGCCAAAAGGGAATGAAGTGGGAATATACGCCAAGTCCGTTCAGAGACACAGTTGAACGGTTGAGGAGCAACGAGGGAGAGTTTTCAATCATTGCATAAAAGCAAAACGTATATTGTGTTCTATGGATGCTGCAGCACGGCCCGAGTTGTCAAGCCTGAGCATGGGGCTAGTGCTCAATGCTGGAGTGCAGTGCTAGTAGATCACTGAGGTATCGGCCTAGAAACTCGCCAAGCAAAACCTGCTAAAGCTTATACATGCTGGAAGTTCAATTTCTGCTAGTTCCTTAAAGACCACCGTAGCAGTGGGAAGGACGATGTCCCTCATCAAAAGGATTACCTAGATTTGACTCAGAAGAAGTGGTTCGAAAAAACAAAGTGGGGTGAACACGGTTGGGCAAGAAAGCAAATGAAAAACAACACAATGGACTTACATAATTGCTCGTGAAGACACCGACGACTAGTGGGGCTACAATGCCACTGAAGGTCGAACAGGCGTTAAACACGGAGAACAGGAAACCTATCAGAAAGTAGGAAGGGAGGAGGTGTTACAAGGATAAATCTATTAGCGTACAGCAATTCGGCCATCTGACGTACAAGGCGAACTCTACCGCCACTTTATCAGCACATACTATCCAAGCCCAGATTATCGCGTCTAGTTACATCGGTATTAGAGCTGTACTTGAGCTGCCAAGATACAACGTCTGGTAGGTTTCAGTGGACCGGAGCGCTGTCCGACAGGAAAGCCCTAACAGGCAATTCACATAGTGGGAGGACAGCCGCGGTTAATGAACCGTCCTTCGATGAGTTGAACAAGGCGCACAAACTGTCTATTTGTTAACCGGGAATTATCCAGGTTGGTCTAGCATGCGCTGGCAGGGTATGCTAACAGGAATGTCTCATATAACAGAAGGCTGGAGCTCAAATAGTATGAACGAGGGAAACAAGGTTGTTGAATTCCGACGCGAAGGGAATTTGAGCGTAGTGGCTATCCGCTGGTGTGAACTACGGAAGTTGTCAGTGTTTGATCACTGGAGCATGTCTCCGAATCATTGGTCAGGTCCGGTGAGAACATCACATTAGTAATGCTGAGGTACGCCAAATGGTCTTAAGAACTCTCCCGGAATAAATGAATTAATCAAACTTCATACATCTTTATGAAAACGTATACGTAGAGACTGTTCTGACCTCACATAAACATGAGACAACGAAACTGAAACTGTTGATAACAAGTCACGCACTCTACAAAAAGCCATAATCACCAGCTGACCTGCATACGCTGGAGCCAGATCCAAATCGGCCAAGTTGAACCCCAGTAACGTGGCTGATGATAGCATGACGTTCAACACCAAGAGAATGATTATTGCAGTTTTGTGAGACGCATCCAGATAGGCGATCGTCAGAAGTAGGATGCTCTTCCCAAAAGCACCTGCAATTTAGGAACAGTGTATGACAAAGAATCAAGACAAATAGCGTAGTCGAACTAGCGTTTCAACTGCCTGTCGCCATGAGTTAATGCAGATAAAAACCGTCACCACGTACCGTAAAATATCATCAAACTGTTCATACCAGTAAATGCTCCTGCTAAAAAATGCTAATACAGTGAAATTTCGCTCCGGTGGTAGTTAATCCACTCAAATGGCAGCTCTAACCTGAGGACCCCTAATGACAAGACTATTTTAGTCTTTCGCTTAGTCTTGGTCGCTTTCCACTATGAAACTCCGAAACTTTTTTTCTACTTTACAGTTTTGTTCATTGACCTTGAAAAGGATATGGAAGAAACAAGGCTTTTGCGCGACCAACTGACCGACCCAGTGTAGACGGAGTGCTCTGAGTGTCTAAGCGTAGTTAACCGTTGATGACGGTGGTCTGGCCTGCCCTAAAACCTCTGGTGGTGCCCTTAAAAAGTGGCTTCTCGGAGCCTCCTCCAAATAAGCACTACTAACCGTATTCTCGCATCAAAGATGTGTTGACGGACGTAAGGGGCCAAAGTGGACAACGGGTACATGGATCGGCTTGACAATCCAGTACCAGTCCTTGGGAGTTAAGTGAGCCCTGATAACAGTGTAACTAATCACTCGAATTCCGCTGCTATCTAACGATGGTGAGTCCCTATTTAGACGCTGAATCCAACCATTTGGGGTTCAACAGGAGAAGTATCTTTCCGATGGACTGAGTGGTCTGAATAACTGCTACTGTCCAAAGAATGTGGACTGGAAATGATCATCGACCCTTACAAGACCGGAACTCCATATGAGCTTTGCATTTCTGTCATGAGCGTCAGGCCTCGGTTTACGAAAGAATCATTCCTTCTTTCCTGTCAGCCGAAAAGTCTGCTGCCCACAAATAACAATTCTCCAACTTAGTGTGGTCGAGGTGATGACGTCCACTCACTCACCAACAAAGTACTTTTACCTAATCTTAGCAACATCTAATTTTCCCAAGCTCATGTTCACCATCCACAAGAAAAGCTGCGGCCGGACCAAGCATAAGGGAACCAACTGGCAGCGGAGCAGGTCTTCAGAGACTAATTCACCACACTGCAATCAGTTGACGATGGCCAGGCTGTGTACAAGACTGCCAGTCACTATGTACCACAAGCATGAGTTCTGATCATGCCTTTGAAACCGGTGATAACGGCTACGAACTTTGGTGAGGAGTTTGTACTCAACCTATTCCAACAACCGAGTATCATGGTTTGTGAGGCAGCTCTCCCATAAAAGAATCAGCCTCCCACTCCGCAGAGATTCTCAAAGCTCAGCTACGCACGTTGGCTGACAACGATCGTAGATAGTTGAAAAGCCGGAAAGGAACACCAAAAGAGGAAATTTGGCGGACCCAAGGCATACACAAATTGAAACCGACTTTCGTAGCGGGACATTTGCAACTCTTTCAGCTTGTTTCAGGCTCCTGCGCGAGGGGTTCAGGAAACGATTAATGAACAATTGCCCAAACCAAGCCTAATACAGGGTCCTCAAAGGTGAGAATAAGAATGCCCTGGACGCAGAACACGAAAGGCTGAATAATCAGGGATGAGATCAGACGGTGGGCTGAAGGAATAACTACTTGACGTATGACAAGGCTTTTGCACGTTGCTGCCTGTTTACAGTGCTGAATGACACTCCACAAGACCTACCACATTTTGTGCAGATCGAATAGCTTTCTTTCAATGTGATCTCTGTGCGAACCGGGGCGTGATCCGTGCATTCAATGTACACGTGACTATCTGCAGCGCCTGGCCAAAGCAACGGATCCAATGAACTTCACCTTGGAAGAACGCTGGGAGTATTCTTAAAATAATCCAGTCTACTCTCAGTGAAATGGAGAAAGTAACTTTAGAAGGTGAGGGAACTGTGGCCAGAGGATCCAGAGAAGAGCCACACTGGGGCTAACTACAAACAGGTTAGACTGGAAGAACTATCTAGCAGTGAAAAACATCGATGAGTACACTGAAGAACTGGTCAGCGACCTCATCGGTGACGCAACTAAGTGTGTGATACGATACTAGTTCAACGGTAAAGTGACATTGTGCACGAAAACCACTGCCAAACTGACTATGACAAACACTGAAAAATCTGAATAGTGAACTAGAGGTTGGCAGTATTCAGCCGATAGCATGGGAATAGGTTCGATATCTGATATAAACAAACTAAAAACTTCTCAAAAGGCATCTATTTTGTATGAAATAGAGAAAACGGAAAATTCAGCCGTGGAACCGGCTGACAAATTTAAGATGGCAAATTAACTCCTTTCAGAGCTGGGGATTCGGACAGATGCATTGGACGAGTGACCGTAGGTAAACCAATTTCCGATTATGAAGGAAGACGAGGTGTCGATCAACATCACTGGCTTCGCTGGGTAAAATTTCACAGAGAAGCTTGTTTGAATCTAAATGACAGAAATATGACGCCCTCGCTGAGGTAAATGTGCGAGATGAAAATGTGCGTATTTATACCTTACTGAGCCAATGTATCTTGTTATTAAAGTAAGTCAGAACACAAATTATGGAAACACGGTAATAGGAGTGATGAGGCTGCACAACACAAAAACATACTGTGAACAGAGCTGTCCGGAGGCCAGCCATCCCTAATAACCGAACATCACCTCATTTGGACGGATGTGTCACGGACCAAACGAAGGCTTGCCCTGATTGGTTAGAATGTCACATAATCCGGATAGAGCATCTTTGACTCGACGCTTTTCACCCCCTCACGGAGATTCTAGCGCGACATTGTGCAACACCTGTGATTACCCCATAAATACAGTCCCTTTGTCTCCATAAAGGGCTGTGTAGAGCTACCGTGCCTTTTGATACACCACAGTGAGGGGAGCAGGAAGCCAAAGGGACCGATACAGAGTTGCACTACCGTTCAGCAAGACAACAAGAGTACAGTGAGCGGCAAACACAAACAAGCGAAACATACTCAGTCCGGACCATAACTTCCTGGCGTTCGGCATACTGATCCATCCACGACGTAAGATAAAACCATCGATTGCCGTTAAAAGGTACATGAATATCAGAGCCATCATGTATGGAAGGGCAGAAAGAACCCCATTCTGAAATGTTAAAAAGAAATCTGCTTAATCATGATTGGAAATGGCATACAAGAAAACAAGCAATACCAATGTTGACCTGGACAGGAGAGGCGGAAACGTTGGATTAGATTATAGCGTCAAAAAGCTCCAACTTCGATATTGGAAATACAGAAAGATACGACGGTCTGCGAAGTTGTCAGGTAGCCACATCAGCTGTGAGGCAGTGCCAACCAACCATACTCTGAATCAGGCACGAAGTGTAGCATCGGATATAAACTCAGCTCCCTACCACACTAGGCTTCCATCCCAAGACCCCTGAGCTGGATTCGGCTCGAGTATGGAAAATAAGTGGCACCCAATAAATGAAAAATTACAGGCTTTGAAAGTGGAGAACCTGAATAACCTTCCTTGATACGTCTGACTTTGACCTATCCAACCTATCTTCTGGTTACTTACGGTCATAAGCAACTTCCATTTCGTGTTGCTGTGTAAAGGTTGCGGTAGTCCCCTAATTTTGCTTGGAACCGTAACCAGACGGATTAACTGACCAGTAAATGGTCCATCGAAATTCCCAACCGAATTTCGTCAGAGTACCTAGNAGCCACATCAGCGGAGGTTAAATTCGAACCACGGAACCTCCGGCCAGTACGTTCGCGTCTTAACCGCTGAGCCATTTCTAACTCGAGGGTTTCGTTGATAAGTGCTAATCTAAAAACTACTGACCACCATCGCCTTGGGGCACGAGTGGTTGAGCCTATAAGTGACAATTAACGACAGAAGTGATAAAGCAACTTCATTAGAGCTTTAAACCCTCTCAAAATGCGTTGTGGTAAGAGGTTCGTGTGAAATGAACCGAAACGCACGACAAATTCGGTAAACACCCACATTGATGGATGTTTAAAATCTGAGCGTTCAAATCGAGCAAAAGCTGATAAAATAAAAAAGAAGGCCTTAATAGCATTTTGCCGGCTGCGGGTCATACGACTGATACTTTCACGAGCTCCCGGTAACGGTCTTTTGCTTCCTTCAATAGTTGGGGAAAGTCAAAAGTGACGAGAGACATCATATATTCGTGCAAAAGTTTACGAATTGTTTTAATATGGCGCAGCACACACTGGTGGCAAGTGCCCAATGAATCCTAGTAACAAGACATATGCTCTGATCCTGTTGTTGGTAAGAGGCTGTCAAACATCTGATAGCAGAAAACCACTGTAGCTCAGCTACCATACCCTTTAAGGCATCTTTGACAGACAACCTGAAGGATGCATGAGGGCTTAGACGCTGCCAAGTTGTACCGGCGTAAACCGGAGTATCGGAAAGCCAGGGTTATGTTCGAATTACGTATCTCCCAGTCCAAACTTCGCGCTATCTGGATTCAGATAGACATAAATATGATGAGTTAATCAGGTAATGACGGATAACACAATATCAACACGGCTAGTATAACATGACCTTCGCCCTTTCGCGACATCAAGTGAATAATGGGTGGATGTAATGGAGGCCTCACGGAACAGCAGAGTTACCTCAGAGAAATGATCTAACGGGTACAAAAGAAATTGGACACTACGGGTTCCAAGTGACCTCAGAGGAATGATTTGCGTACTTACCTCACTGATCGGAACACCAAGCACATCATGAATGAATTGCGGCACACAAACCAGCAACGTGTAATTTGACCAACCGTCCAACACATAGCAGACCATGATAAGCCATACCTGCCCGCTGGCTGCTAGACGGCGCCATGGAATTGCACGTGGACGAGGAGGCTAGTTGGATGAAAGGAAGACGGGGAAGGGCACTAACCGAAATGTTGCAACGTCAATCTACACTGAAAAGCTGGGATATCTCGTACAGTGACTTGGTCCTTATCGGGTATCAACAGTAAAAAGCCTCTCACCAGTAACATTCCAGATCGGAATTCGGCTACGGGTATTTAATTTCGAAATACCGGTGGAAGGAGGAAATTCAACCGCTGGGAAGTTGTTTATTAGCAAACACGAATTAAGCGATTACAAGTAATTAGACACGAAAGTAAACATCTCATTTGCGCAGAGTTTTTTAAAGCTAAACTGCGAAGCGGTTACATAATTTACGTAGTAACATTCACCTTCCATCGGATACGGAGAGGGAGCTCGGACATTAGACCAAAACTACTGGCATACTTCATCAGCGGCATACACCGTTGCACTGGTATATCGGACGCGCTTATCGGCTGCTGATCAGATTTATGTAATCATCGAGTTTGACAGCAAGATAATTACTTGCATATAAGAAGAGATGCAAACCACCAGTCTTCCATCTTCCAGTTCACGCCACATGAAGCGGTATTGAAAAGTGATGACTTCACAAACATAAGCCTCAAGCGACGCGTGCGATGTTTTCTTTTGTGGACACATTACACAAGCTTGTCGTAAACTTGACGGCAAAACAAAGCCGAGACACAGTACGCTAGAGGATTTCGACAGTCTCACTAACCCATAGACCACGAAAACAAGAATAAGTTGTGCACTTTTCGACAGAACTTTTCGAGCTGCCTCAGAATACTTCAAATGAGGCTGGTTACCATAGGAGAGTGTTGGAAATAGTCATGACTAAAAATCTTCGAACAAGATCCGACGAATTATTGATTCACTTCACTGAACTACGGGATGATCTTTGTGATACAGTATAGGGAATTAAGTAAATTATCAACCGTCTTTATGTTTTCAGCCGCCATGTAGGTTTATGTAACATTGTCAGACCAAGAATATCGGCAAAAAGAAATGAGTGAAGCTTCGATCTGCTGACCTATGGGGAATTTTCCCGAAAGAAGATCACGAAAGTTCACGGGGGATAAGAACTTAAGACATCAGCTGTTAAAATGCTGACTAACGCTCTAACTCGTTCAACGTTTGGATCATTTGAGAATATTCCTCATTGGTTTGTCCTCAAATTCTGTTTTCTCTGTCCACAACTACGAAGTCTGCTGTTACAAAGTTCACGGGGGATAAGAACTTAAGACATCAGCTGTTAAAATGCTGACTAACGCTCTAACTCGTTCAACGTTTGGATCATTTGAGAATATTCCTCATTGGTTTGTCCTCAAATTCTGTTTTCTCTGTCCACAACTACGAAGTCTGCTGTTACTGATTGAAGTTTCGTTGTCAGAGCTTGCTGTCATTTCAAGAATCGTTCCAAAGAGATTCGGACTAACCACTGTATTTCTGTACCAGTAAAAGAAAATTACATTGCGGAAAGGCCAACTCCGTGTAACAACAGTCCTAGCCGTTTCCCTTACACTCGTCCCAAGGTTATGTTGGTATATGCATGCGACCTAAACATGTTAAGCAAATGGTAACATTGCCCTGCTCATCACAGTGCCCATACACTACGCGAAAAGGGCTGCGGACACTATAACGTACAATGAAATGATACGCAAGGAAGATTTGATGAACGAGCAAGTGGTCAGGTTTGAAAGCTATCACACAAAGCTCAAAATGTAATGAGGGAGCATGGGACAGTTTGCGCGTTCAGTTTATTATGCGGCGGAGTTTGGTCTTGTTATGCCGTCCCAGTTTGTTCACCAAATGATGACTGGTACGCCACCTCCCCGTCCATTCTCATTTTCACTGTTGGTCATACCATCCCGTGAACCCGTTGCGCACCAGTTTTAGGTTCCGTAAGATCACCTCATCTGTTGTATTAACAATTAACCGATATTGTACATCTCCAGGGTGATCGCTCTACTGTTTGTGAGATTACTGTGAAAAAATAACTTGTCGACCAACATGAAGCTAGCGGATTACAGATGGGGGAGGAGATTCTGCCAAGAAATTCTGCCTAGAAATTCATGAACTGGCAGCATATCCAAAACCTGTAGTCAATTGCCCATTCAAAAGCGAGTTGCCACGGGCAACAAACCACGTACGAACAGCGTAGTGATCCTGGTTGCAACATTTACACGTGTGATCATCATCATCAGAAACATCAGCGTTGACACTGATGCTTCACTGCCGTACAACCAAAGGCTGTATCTAATTATATTTAGAGCCTTGGAGTCAANATATATATATATATCATTAAAGCCCTAGAGTAAAAAGAATAGTAAAAGAGTGGGTGAGTGAGAGGACCAAGTGATGGCCTATGTCAAGCGTTCTGAGAGGCCTACACCTCCAAATGCTTAATCAGACAAGCTGGAAACTGGCAGGACGGACGCCACTGACATCGATTAGCCACCACTTCTTGCAGTCTCCAGCCAAGCACAGGCGGGGTCACGGGGACCCCGGAAGGCGTAAAACACCGACAACACCCACACTCTTCGTGATCTCTTTCACGCCCTTCTGCCAAGTCATGCATTGTCCACCTCGCGGTTTGCGCCATTCCGAAGGAGGCACGGAGAACAACAACCGTCTCCGTAGACGGTGTTCCGACATGCGTAGCACATGACCGAGCTGTCACAGTTGGTGGAGCTGGATGTTGTCCTTGACTGAAGTACCTACAGCACAAACACACCCGTTTTAGAAGGGCTTGGTAAACAATCGATAGTTTTTATTTGGGCAACGTTTCGCTTTTGACACAAAAGCTTCATCAGGCCGTTTTCTAATCACCGCGTTACTAAGACGCTGACGTAATCCAAAACCAGGAAAGCTTCTTAGGCATTGGTGGTCCAAAACCTGAAGATGCCTCACATCATCTATCCGCAGAAGCCATGTATCGCACCCATACAACAACACAGCCCTCACTGTAGCCTCGTACACACGACCTTTAAGATCTAGTGAGATGTCTTTTTGACGCCACAAGTGACGCAAACGTGATTCCAGCCTTTTAAATTCTTGCACTGACTTCATCAGACACACTTCTGTCGAACCTCCTAGAACTACTGAGGTATGTAAAGTTTCCCACAATCTCCAGTGATTCTCCTTGAATTGTAAGGGATATGTTCGGAGACTGCACGTTCTGAAGCATGACTTTGCACTATGGTGCAAGGCGCATGCCAAAAGATGGTATGACGGTGGTCAGCCTATTCAACAGGGCTTGTGCTCCGCTTTGGTCTCCATAGATGAGAGTGATATCATCTGCGTGATCCAGATCGACAAGGCACTCACCAGCAGCAATTTGAACACCGGGGTTTTGAAGATCTTCCGGCGTTCGCCCCATTACTCCATCAATGATAAAGTTGAGCAAGAGTGGGGAGAGTGGACATCCTTGTCTGACACCACTTTTTGTAGGGTAGCTTTTGGAGCGCTCACCATATACTCACCCGCCCGGCAGTATGTGAATATAGGGATCGAATTATGTTTACAAACTTCTGGGGCATACTCTGTTGAGCAAGTGTAGTTAACAGCACTGACCGATCGACAGAATGAAACGCACCCTTGAAGTCAAGGAATACCGAGATTGTGCGTCGTCTGTACATATGGCGTTGCTCTAACACCTGACGGAGTGTGAACATGTGGTCAACGCAGCCTTTACCCGGTCGAAATCTCGCTTGATTTTAACGAGTCAAGGTTTCGCGTGCTATCGTATGATGACGGCTAGAAGCCTTGTCACAACAGGTGTCAAACCAACACCTCTGCAGTTACCACAATCACCGCGATTACCCTTTTTGAAAATGGGCACTACTATCGATTCAACCCAGTTGTCTGAGACGGTCTCTTTCTCCCAAGTAGACCCAAATAGGCTAAACAGGCACTGTCTGAGGAGCCCGCCGCAATCCTTGAAAGGGGCAGGTGGAAGTTCGTCAGTACCAGCAGCAAGATGAGGGCGGCTCCATATTCACGGTCCATCTTCCTGTTGAAGGCCGGGATTATGGATTAAAGGTAGCAGGTGGCGAGCTGAATTGCAGTTCAAAGTACTGTGCCCAGCGGTTCAAACGTCCTGTTTTGCTGTAGATCAGGGAGCCATTTTGGTCTCTGATTATTTCGCTAACAAGAGGTTTCCGAGGACCAGTCGAACAAATCAAGTGAGACAGCTTGCGGACGTTTCCAGCATTCTTTGCGTTTTCCGGTCCACCAAGCTTTTCGGTCTACATGGACACTTAGATTCACCTGGCGTCGGATAATGCGTCAAGGGGAGTTGTGGTGGCACCCAGAAAGAATCTGCCACCGGGTCTCGAGCAAAGACACGGTCCTATCGGAAATCCAGTGCTTGGATGAGGTTGGCTGGGTTGTACCGCAAACAGACGTTCCGGCTTTGAGTAGTGCTTTGGATATCCTTTCCCGGTGGCCATTTATATCCGACACCGTACCATCCGGCAGGCATTCGAGGAGCTGGTTCTGTTAGTTTCGTTTGACTTCTGTGTCCACTAGCTTCTCAACGGCTAAGCGAGGTGTGTGCGTTTTGCGTACACTTGAAAAGCGCAATAAAAAACAACAGAGTACAAGTGAATGGTCGGAGTCAACGTTGGTGTTCCGGAAGGAGCGGCAGGCGGTGATCAACCCTCGCCACCGGTAACTGACGGCGATGGGGTCTATTTGGGTTCGTGGCTGACTTATCGGTAGTCACCAGGTTGTCAAGCGATTTCCGCTGTTCCGGAAATTCGCACTGCAAAGGAACAGCCTATGATCAGCACACATGTGAAGTGAGCGGTCTCTGATGCCTGTGTGTCTGGTGTTCAAACCAAAACGGTCACCCAATCGGATCTCAGCTGCAATTAGTCTACTTACCTTGGCGTTCATGTCCCCAGCAAATACAGCTATATCTGAGCTTTTAGCCCACTGTACAAGGGCACCTAGAGCGTCACCCAAACTGTACTTGGCAGATTCAGAGCTACAGTCAGCTGGGGCGTAAGCAGACACATTACAAGGTGTGATGGACCTCACTTTCCCTAGATTCTCTCACAGATGTTGACAAACTAAACGCGCAGAGGTGACTGTCTACAAATATCCAATCAAGTAGAGACGTTTCCGCTCGTTCGCTCAATACAATACCCACCCCGGTATATCCAGCTGCAGAGACCTCTCCATCACCAGAGGTGCGCAGCCGGAACCTAGGAGAGAGCAACGGGGCAGTCAGTTCGATTACATTACTTGCGTCCTGCGTCCTTGTTTCTGACAAACAGACATCAATGCAGAGTACGAGCAAGAGTCACCTGTTGATCTGCTTGCTTCAGTGTGCGAACATTGAAAGTGGCTAAGTAGACAGGCTTTCGGGGTTTGAAAACAGGCTTTGAATTGTTTACGGTTGTAACTGAACTCGGACGCACAGAAGCTGCAGCTGAGTGTGATGGACGGTGAACAAAGCGACCAGCCCTAGTGCTGGGACCTGCGGATTGAGTAGACAAACATGGGTAAGGTAGGACAGAAGGGAAACGTGGAATTTCAAGAGTGCAGGAGTCGGTAGTAACGTTTTCGCTTACCCATCTAGCTGTATGCAGCAAGCAAGGCGCCCTGAGCTACGGCACTACAAAACGGCCAATTTGGCATGAGTACTGGTTGTTGTAAATGACACCGTTGTACATGGGCTGGAATACTGCCAGGGCACCCACACCTATACAGGAGGACGATTGGTGTCTTCAACCAGAGCCTTGGGCTCAAAAGCCTAAGCACAAGGCAGCGGTGTTGGGCTGGAAATGCAAGTACACTGCCATTTTTTACGGAACACGTCGCCATACATGTCCCCTCTCCAAACCTAGAGGGCCAGGAGACTGCGTGCGCCAAACCTCTACCCATTGATCAGCCTGGTATGAGAGACTGTGAGTGTCGCGCGGACACTCCCCAGTGTAGCTCACAAACCGCCACACCATGGTGACGGCCCACGTGCAATGGAATCGTGGTGTCACGCTGAACTGCAGGGGAATTAACGGATGACACCAAAGATCCTCTATACAGTGTAGTGCTAGTCTTCAGTGCAATGCAATCATGCTTAGATCTTTCAGAAGGACTCTGTGAGTTTGCTGTCGAAGTTGTCCCTCTAAGACATCGGATTTACAGGCCCACATATCCGAATCCATATATTCATTTTATCACAACCACCCGCAGTCACCCAGCAATCTAACCACTGTTGACAGTAAAATGCTTATTGGATGCAGGCTGCTGTACATACAAAAGCCCTGTAAAGCAACCCAAAACAGGACCACTTGAAAACCGTCACTCCAAAGAGGAAGATACTGTGAGGAGTACTGCAGTCCGATGATTGACCACGAATGAAAACGGACCCCTATAAAAACATCTGGCCAGCACTCTGAGTTCAGAAGACGAAGGGAGTGGTTGGTGGCGTAATAATGACTTCGCAAAACGTGAGGTTTTATTCCATACGGCCAACAATGAAATGACAAGTGTTCATGCTGTCAGTTTCTATGCTGATTGTCCGAGTTGCCCGCTGAAGGTGTAGGCACCTCAGATGTCTGCGATAGGTTGGCATCTAGGTTTTTCCACTGTCCACTCCCCACTATAGGGTCTCATCTGTATGTATTGACGCAATCGTACCACAATCAAACACTGGTTTTCTCACACTGCGAGTGATGTTGTTGGCTAACGTGAGTGACAGGACAGAAGAGTCCTCAACGTAAAGCTGCATGCTGAGTAAGGATTGTATACAAATGTACGACTGTCTTAACAGAATACGTGTCAATGGTCACACTTGGTTATTTCTGCAAGCGAAAGTCTTTAAAAAGCATACAACATAGAATAACACCTTATTACAGTCAGTAAGACAACGTACGTGGATGTCCCTCAGAGAACCCTCGATGTACTGAACCTCCTCTGGTGAGATCCATGGGTGGGAGCCCGGGACTTCGGTAATGAGGATCGACCAGGCAGGTAGCCAAATGAAAGCCAATATTCCTGCGTAGCGAATTAAAAAAATTAGAGAGTGGGATACACACATAAACCAATAGAAAGGCACATCTACCCCAAAAACATCTTACATAAGGAGAAGACGAGCACAAATGAATCCGTAAGTTAGAAGTGTCAGTTATGACGTAGACGGCTCTTTATCGATCAAGGAAAGAATGACAGTGAGTTGACATAAATGATCGCTGATTGTGCTGGTGCACTCATAACAATCCGGAAAGGCACAAGTCACCACCCAACAGTGGGACTTTACGGGAGACGGAATGGATAAAGAACGAAAAGAACTTCCAGTGGGGGGGTGAGTCCTCCAAACAAGTATTCTCTCGGCCCCATAATGACTCCTCCGTAGCCTACTGAAACGTTCAAAAGTGCGAAAAGAATGAGACAGAAACCACGTGCCAGATGTGACCTCTAAGCTCAACGAAATTCCTGTCGCCCGAAATGTCAAAGCCAATCTCCGAATGGACTCACCTGAGTAAGAAGTCAGTCTTGCAGGTGCAAGCTCCTGACCCCGAGACCCATGCTTTAAACCGATGGTGGAATTTTTAAGTGATCCTATCCAACCTCCAGAAACTTATTACTATCTTGAACCTCGTGTTCCATTCGGGCCGCATAGAAGTTGTACGCCAAAAGGGGTCACAAGCAGATTGTTTCACTTGACTTTGCTAGGGTAAGAGAGTGCAGAACTGTACTGTTGTGTGACTTCCGGCTTCATACACTTCAACAACGGTCTACCGGTAGTCCGCACAATATGGCGGGCTAAAAACGATCAGATATTAAAGTAAGCGAAAATATCCGTACAGCAAGAAGGCAATCGATTCCGGGAAAAAAGGTATTCCTGGAAGAGATACACAAAGTACTGGCACTTAAAGACGCTGTGTCATACATGAAGGCATTATCGGTTGATGACAACAAACTACAGCTGGCTATTACCTACGCATCCAAAAGAGGCAAATTAGTTTCGTTCTTTGTTTTCTAAGCAGCCTGTAACATACATATAAATATATTCGCAGGGGTCAGAGTGCAGTGACGGAAAATGCAGCACAAACTGACTAATTTTGCCTGCAAGCCAACAAACTTATGTACGAGAATAAACGCACATAGAAGGAGAACCAGAGTCAACGGGGATCGTATTATGCCCTCAAACTCGCAACTTTATTTCAATGGGCTCACCTGAAACATAGAATGGCAACGGCCAGCCTCCCAGCTGGTTGGCATCGATTAAGTATCCACTGCAAACCAGGGCCAACACGGTACCAACGATGTAGCCTTGAGGATAGGGATAGAAGTTGACGAGGTATGGTAATATCAGCCGAAGCGTAAGGTTGGCTGAGTGGACATGCGGCCATGAAATTTTGATGACATTAGACAGGAACTGATAGTCTACGACTCGGGTGTCACTAACTGGCACCGCGTCAGTGTAATGTAGATAAGCGTGACTAGACGACCCCGGTAGGTCTAAGAAAAGATGGGCACCGTAACGGACAAAGGCACCTGGAAGTTCAGTCATACTCATTCATTATAAATGAGCCAATTTTACAGCGGGTGAAAAGCAATTGCTTGAAACATCATGTTGTGAACGGGGCGACCATAGATAATAGTGCTTACTTTTCCAAATCTACAAGGATGTCGTTTCCCTGCATTAAAAACCTATCAAGACTATGTCAATGACTTTCTTTATCGGACATCATCACCAGTGCACTTTTGACGAACCTGTGCGTAGATTCGAATCCGTGAAAGTTCGGGCTGAACACCCCAATTTTTCAGCAGTATCGTTTGCTTGTAATTAGGCAGAATACAGGACCACTCAGTGTTAGAGAGGCATCTTATACGAAATGTGAAATTTCAACTTGCCGTTAACCAGTTCTACGAGAGGCAGCTTATACGAAATGTGAAATTTCAACTTGCCGGTCGTGCCTTTCACTGTGCAGAGGAAGGCTTTTGAAATGATTGCGAATTAAACCTGTCAATGCGTCGGCGAAGAAAACTAGATTGTCCTTAAGCGATAGTCCCCTCGTTGAACCCTGTATAAGCAACGGTGAAGCTTTAGTCGATTGGCTAAGATACACTTGTACGTTTTTTTTCAATAAATGAAGAAGAGAGGCTGCCGATTTGACGGGCGAAACAATACCCAGGAGATTATCGAAAGGATTGAATTTCAGACATTAGAGAGAAAATACATCAATGATAACATCTTGAAGAATCGCGTTTTGAATGGAAGCCTGCTGTGCCATGATCTGCAGGTCCACATAAGAAGTCGAACATAAGTCGTCCTCAGGGCCATGTGCCCCCGATTGGCATAGTCCTGACCAAGAAACTGCACAGTCAAAAACCATTCGAATGTAGGACAGAGTTGATAAATTATTTCGACCCACATCATTTTCATCCCTTGATCTCATCTCCCAATAAATATAGTGAAAGTGGGAGCCACCAGCCTTGACTCTCGCCCTTATTAGAGTTCGACAATGGTTTGGAGATGAGCTACGACAGTTGACATCATAAATAAACACTAGAATAGTAATTCTGAAATTTCCATGATTCTCTTCTTCATCTCGTCCTTCTGGTTACTGGTAAAGATGAAAAAGATAATCGATCAGCTGTAACACCCTTTCGGTGCCTAACTGCCATTCTAACCGAAGGAAGCACGAGAGCTGGGATACTGCCAGATTGCCCAAGCCTAGACAGGGGGAGTCGAGAGGCAGAGGTCGGATTCGAACCGTGGTTCGAACCACGGGTCATTCGGTCAGTAAATCCGCGCTCTAACCACTGAGCAAGTCCTCTCAGTCACATCATTCATCGCAATTAGATTGTTGATATAGCCGGAACCACTCCACACCTATCAGTTAAACTATATATGGAAAATTAACAGAACACGTGAACTTTAATCCGACTACATACTTTCCAGGTTTGAAATCGAAAAAGAAAGAAATCGTTCAGTTGTAGCACCCTTTCGGTGCTTAACTGCCATGCCACCCGAAGGTTGCAAGCCAGGTCGCTCAAGCCTAGACAGGAGAAGTCGAGAGGCAGAAGTCAGGTTCGAACCTTGAACCTTCCAGTCAGTAAATTCGCGCTTTAACCACTTGAGCCATCTCGCCCCCATGCAGGCTTGCAGCAACGAAATTCGGACATCTCAGATGACGAAGAGATATGAAAACCAAAAACGGATCTCAAGTACATTATTACTCAGTTACTGGCGGATTCTACAGGCGTCTGCTCGTCAAAAACACGAGTGGTGACTATCCAGCGCAAGTGACCTAGCATGTCATAATCATCATCGACAGCATGACATCAATGTACAACACCGGTGCTTCGCAGCCCTTGGAATTAGAAACAGTTGGGCCACGGTTATTTGCCTGAAAGACATCATACTTCTTTAGGATGACGCCGCAAATATTGTTGTGCACTTACCAGAGTGCATGATTCCTGAAAGTAACGAATATTCACGAGGCGGGTACCAGTAACCAGTTAACCGATGGATTGACGGATAACACATGCCCTGTAAGAAATGCACGAGAGGAGTTAGACGGAGAAGGGACAAATATACAGAAATTACCACTTTAACCGAGGAACATGTCTTGAGGTCTGCATTGAGGTCGACTTATTTGCCCGCTGATTCGATTACTCTGAAATCAAAATCATTCGCTCATATACTGCTTCGTCCACACCATAATCTGATTACGAACGAGCATCCGCCATTCTTTACGTTCAACGGACGTTGTTCGTGGTTCTTATGTGCATGGTCTTTTAGTGGGACCGCTGTACTAACACATACACAACATTAAAAAAGTTAGTAGGAGAAACTAAACGACCAGGCAACTGAAACGGTGGGCAAAAAACTTAGTCTCTCCGGCTCCAAGTGTTGGAGCAATGGTGTCTCCGTCGCTCGGCAAGAGTCACCTGGTTGCAGTGTGTCCGTGATGAAATGACTATCAAGTGAGCAGTTGGTAAGAAAAATCGATACCAGGTTACGGTGGTTGGGACACCCAATACGCACAACCAATCATTGTTTACCAGAGGGGGGTACTGTTTTTTGTTCCAGCCTACTGTTGGCGGGAGGCAGCCACAGTTAAACTGACGTCTGCTGAATCCTCGCGCCTTTCAGGCCGAGCCTCCTTCCAAGTAGCTGGCCGAAGACTATGAAGTGTGTTGGTTGCCACTTCATCTGTCGGACGGTGGACTAATGTATTGGTATAAAAAATCGATACCAGGTTACGGTGGTTGGAACATGCATTGTTTACCAGAGGGGGTACTGTTTTTCGTTCCAGCCTACTGTTGGCAGGATGCAGCCACAGTTAAACTGACGACTGCTGAATCCTCGCGTCTTTCAGGCCGAGCCTCCTTGCAAGTAGCTGGCCGAAGACTGTGAAGTGCGTTGGTTGCCACTTCATCTGTCGGACGGTGGACTAATGTTAGGTGATATTAGAGGACGATTCTGGGTTGTTCTTGCCGATAGCATGAGGTTCAGATGTAGTGATTCCAGTGCTGGTTAAAGATGTAAGCACCTGGTTCACGAACTTCCTCGCTCAAAAAAATGACTTCTGTACCACATCACTACCCCTCCCTTTCTTTCCAGTATTTGCTGAGGCCTTTTTTCACCATGGCTTTGTGCAGCGGAGTACCAGCATTCACTATCGGTGTGTCGCTGTCGTTGATGACAATGAGGAGGAGACATGAAGTTCTCATAAACGAACCCATTTTCGAGGTAAACTCCTGATAGAACGTGCTTTTCAACTATTTACAAAATGTTGATCGGCCTGCTGGTGGTGATGCAACCGAGTGCAACCAAGCACTCAAGTATTTCGGTTGGTTGGCACGTGTCAACTGAGAAATGAGTTCTTTTTCCTCCAAATTCAGTGGAACGAATCGAGAGGAACACAAAGTATAAGGCGTCAGAGAACAAACCAGCAGGTTACGATGAAGTTTGGGTACTACTGATGCTGCCTGTCTTCAAAGACAGGATCCATGTGTCCTCTGTGTTTCTTGTGGCATACAATGACAATGATGACCACTGCAGCAATAACTCAACGACTGATCGATATCGACGTTTACAAAGTCTTCCCCGGAACAGAAAAAACAGCCTACCTGAAACAATCCTTGTGAAATACGTAGCAGCAGAAATGCCGTGAAGCCACCAAGCTCGACTAGCCGAGGAAGCACGATGGCGATCAACCCACAGAAAGAGACCCCTGTTGCGAATGTCCATTTGCCTCCAATATGCTGCGTAACCCAACCAGCTGCAGAATTAAAATGAAAGAAAAGGTGCAGTTAACCATACGCAATAGATGATGAGAAGAATCGGAGGTACTGGGATGGACGAAATGGAGCCTAAATACATTTGGGAGTAAACAAGGGGATTTCACTTGGCACTCGAAAAGCGAATGTCAGGTGGGACCGAAAAACACGTATAGCAGAAACTGCAGTTGGATGTTGAAGCTGTAATATAGTTATATGCTTCTAAATTCACAAGCGACAAAAACAAGTCAGTTTTCTCACCTCAGTGGTTATGATGAACCCTACTGCTTACTACTACTAATCAAATGAATATGATAGAAACCAGACGGTTAGGAATTTTCATACGTATTCAATGAGGACGCACGTACCAGGAAGCTGCATTAAAAAATAAGAGTAGAAGAATGAGCTTAAAATAGTGTTCTGCTCCAAAGGCGTCCAGTCAAACTTTCTGCAAATAGACGTATGGGACAGAAGACGAATCGAGACCTACTTAGCACTTCCTGAATTATTCCCAGTGATGTTTGCACTCTGTAAGAATCAAGCGGAGGCACTGACGTCACTTACTCGATATTCTTTGTTGTCAACCATTGAGATAATGGTGATGGCGGGTGAGATTCGCATGATGTAACAAATAGCTAGACCACAAAGTCCAAGGAACATAACGCAGTGGCGGTACCCCAGGAATAGTCTACCCGAAGCAACATCGCAACAGGTGGACATTCCTGAGACACGCAACACAATGTATGAACGATGATACGGAAGATCCGTTTCATATAAGCAATACAACAAAACGTGGCTAAAATTGAAGCAGAAAACAACAAAAGCATGAAGTTAATGGGAAGGTCACATAAGTAACTGGAGGTGAATGAAGCCTCTTATCACAAGTGAATTTAAAGGTAGCGGCATGTTTTGCAGCTGGAAAGAGCAAATTAGTTTTAGATTCGGTTGATAATTTTCCAACATTGATGTGCCCTCCGAAGAGACACGCAACCATCTCATCGAATCAAAGGCCAGCAACCTAATCTGGAAAACGAAGCGCCGAGGCACATTATGTTGCGGAGAAGACCGTACAGACTTCGCTCGATCAGTAGCTAGGGTGTCTATTTTGACGTTCGACGGAAATCAGCGTTTCTCGTGCACCTCAAACAAGTTATCACTTCAGGAAAACCCATGGAATCTATTGGGAAGTCATCGCGTCCGGAAAACTTTTGGAAAAACTCAGCAAACTTATTGCTGAGTACAACTGGTCACGACCCTAAATCCCAACAATCAGGAGCTCGGTATATTGCACCACTAGAGTGGAGAGCGTTGAACACACTGAGACAGGTGGATAATATTATCATTTTGAAGACAGATAAAGGTAGTCAGAGTAACAATAAGCAAGTCTTCAAAAGATCAAGCAGCATGTCGCCGATGGACCCTACGGACAATTTACCAATGGCAATGTTACTCTAATAACGAGTAAGCGTAGCGTAGAAGTTCGTGGATGTTTAAGATCCACAAAAAGCCATTTGAAGCAAGTGGTATCGGTTGTACCCAGTACGATTCACTCAGGGCTCTACGGACTGCCAATTCACTCTACTGCCAACACTGCTCCGATAAGACCAATAGTGGATCATATAGGCTCGCCACCACATGAGTTAGCCGAACTCGTAGCTGATATACGAAAACCACTTACGGGGGAATCGGCCACCTTCATTAGAAATTCGTACGACTGTGGCAGAATTTTCTTAGAAGCTAGACGAAGTTCGCGTGAGTTTTGGCACGGTCTCAACGTACAAAAAATGAATAGGCGGCTGCTTTGGAGGTAACAGAGGCTAGTAATAGCAGGCAAGATAGGCCAAGTGGTTAGAGCGCGAATTTACTGACCGGAAGGTCCGTGGTTCGAACCTGGCCCCTGCCCCTCGACTTCGCTGTCTAGGCTTGGGCGACCTGGTTGTAACCCAACCCTCGTGCCTTCTTCGTGCGGCATAACAGCTGGGCACCGAAAGGGTGCTACAGCTGGACGATTTATTTTTATTTACTTATTATTTACTAGCAGGCACGACACTTAGGGAAAGGACACAACTCTCGGTCGATGAAGTAGTTGAGGGCATAAGAGTGTGGCTGAATGTTGACCAGTTTGTTTTTAGCAAGGTCTAGCAATAGGGTATCCAATATCCCCGGTTTTGGTAAATATTTTCACGGAAGATTTTGAATAGAAAGCTTTAGCCGGATTTCCGTACCTACTCAAGATATTTTGGCGTTATGTATATGACACTTTTGTCGTGACGAACTGAGACAAGGTCAGTGAGTTTTTCAATCATCTGAATGACATGGATCCACGCGTCCCATTTAGTATCGAGACATAGTCATCTTCTGAGTCGCATTTCTTAAACTGCATGACACATAAGGTCAGGAGAAACTCAAAAACAAGTGTATCAGAAGCCACTTGACAATAGCCATTCTAAAATCATTCAACTGTAGTACCATTTTGGTGCCTAACTGCCATGCCACCGAAGGTTGCATGAGGGCTGGGATACTGCCAGGTTGTTCAAACCTAGACAGGGGAAACCGAGAGGCAGAGGTCGGGTTCGAAACACGGACCTTCCGGGCAGTAAACCCGCGCTCTAACCACTTGGGCCATCTAGCCCATTTTGAAGCACTCTTCTGTCTGTCCGAAGTCGGTATTCACTAGATTCAGCGTCGAAACTGAATTCAGTAATCGGGCTGGCGGCAGCACTGTGGGAGAAGACGGAGGCCCGACTGTTTTTACCGTATTCAACAAGCCCCAATTGAGCTTATTCAATCCGCTTGTTTCTTCTGTTTGGAGATGCTTTGCCGAAAGTGACATCGTGGGTTAACCCGAATTCAGGTTGTAACTCGGTTTCTTGCTTCACCCACTATAGTATACCAAAGGGCTCGGTTTCTTCAGACAGCCTTTTACGGAGCCAAAGGAAAATTATTACAACCGTATTCACAGGGCAATGACAATGTTCTACAAGGTCGTACTAGGATCTCCGTGAAGGGGCGAGAAGCGTCGAGCCGGCGTTCTCACCAATCAGGACATGGTTTCGGTCGGTCCGTAGCCTGCATGTGAGGCATCGGCCCAAATTATATCATGTTCGGTTATTAGGAACGACTGGGCTCAGGACACACTTATAACAGTAGGGGACACGCTGCAAATTAAAAAACTCGTGGATAAACTGCTTCCAACTTAGGCCACAAACCACAGGCCACGGATTCACGGATCGATAAACAGGATCGAGGCTTTAACCCAAGTTTCCTGGGTCGTTTAGTTCTTGTCGGTCAGTGGCTGTCGTTCATCTGAAAGTTACGAGTGAAAAAAGGGTGTAGCACTGCTCTTTGTGTTCTCAGCGCGAGGCAGTATGCTTGCCAGCTCGAGGACTCGTATAAATAAATGTCTACTAATGCTTCGAACTGGGTTCTAGAAGGAGCGTGGACAACCGTCGGAGGAAAGTCATTCCACGCAGCTACCACCCGAAAAATGAGAATGTGCGCGCTCTGAGCTTGAAAATCTTCTTACCATGTCCCCGCCATGT